GAGCCTGTTTGCTAGTTCCATAAGGACGATGCCTTGATCTGTGGGAGTCAGTACGGGTTTGTCAAGAACGGATCCTGTCAAAGAAATCTTATATTTTACTAGTCATCCCCTGCCACGCATTGCTGTGGCCCAGTCTAGTGATCTGGAAAATAAAGTAATGGTTTCTAATATGTGTAATTTCTCTATGCTTGTGGGCAAACAGTATTTCTTGCTGTTTCTTTGTCAGTGTTGATGTGGAGAGTGTCTGGTTTGCCTACTCTGGAATATGGAACATATTATTGTCCTTCTTTAGGGGTCCCTTTCAAATCTATGATTCCATATCTGTGTGTGTGTGAATCATATATATCTATTTATATCTATGGCTGGATCGCTCTCTGTCAGGAGGGCTTTGATTAGATTTTCTTGCCCTGAAGAGAGTTAGACTGGGTGGCCTTAAGTATTTTCTGTTGGTCATGGGGGTTCTATGTGGGAAATTTGCCCCAATTCTGTCTTTTGTGGGGTTCAGAATGCTCTTTAATTGTAGATGAACTATAAATCCCAGTAACTACAACTCCCAAATGTCAAGGTCTATTTTCCCCAAACTCCATCTGTGTTCATATTTGGGCATATGGAATATTTGTGCCAAGTTTGGTCCAGATCCATCATTGTTTGAGTCCACAGTGCCCTCTGGATGTAGGTGAACTACAATTCCCAAATTCAAGGTCAATGCCCACCAAATCCTTCTAGTCTTTTCTGTTCGTCATGGGAGTCCTGTGTGTCCCCTTTGGTTCAATTCCATCATTGGTGGAGTTCAGAATGCTCTTTGATTGTAGGTGAACTATAAATCCCAAGAACTACAACTCCCAAAAGACAAAATCAAAAACATTTGAGTGAAGGGCTTACATTGGGTTGTTAGGTGTATGCCGTCCAAATTTGGTGTCAATTTGCCCAGTGGTTTTTGAGTTCTGTTCATCCCACAAACGAACATTACATTTTTATTTATATAGATTTCAATCAGGTTGCTTGTTTAGGAGACGTTATTTATCTGGATTTCAACAAAGTATTTGACAAGGTCCCACACAATATTTTGATTAACAAAGTGAATAAATGTGGAATAGACGGGAACACAGTCAGACAGATCATAGAATCATAGAGCAAGACGAGACCGCAAGGCCATCTAATCCAACATCAACCCATAACTGTTTGGGAAACTGAGCTCAGTCATTATCAATGGCTGCACTTCAAATTGGAAGGTGGTCTAGAGTGGAGTGCTTCAGCCCATTCAGGTATGCCAGTGGAGCTTTCTATCCTGCTGGCTTGAAAATAGACCTTGGCTCTGGACTACAGTTCCGAGAGTCTCCTAGAAGAGGGTGGCCAGAAAAGTCCTAATCTTGAAATGCTGCTTTTCCAAATGCTGGCTCTTTTTGATCCTCCCAACAGCTCCTCAATGCCATTTTCTCCTCTTGGGTCCTACACTCCCTCATGTACTTGCTGCCTGCTGTTTCAACTTATAGTAGTTGGGAAGCCAAGCAGTCCTAGTGGGAAATCTTGAACTTTCTCAACCTGGAGGTTGGGACCCCTGGGGGGTCACGAGGGAGGTGTCAGAGGGGGTCATCAGAAAACGCAGTATTTTCTGTTGGTCATGGGGATTCTGTGTGGGAAGTTTGACCTAATTCTATTGTTGGGGTTCCAAATGCTCTTTGGTTGTAGGTGAACTATAAATCCCAGCAACTACAACTCCCAAATATCAAGGTCTGTTTCCCCCAAACTCCACCAGTGTTCACATTTGGACATATTGAGTGATAGTGCCAAATTTGATCCAGATCCATCATTGTGCTTCTTGGCAGGGAGTTGGACTGCATGGTCCATGAGGTCTCTTCCAACTCAATGATTCTATGCTTCTATGATTCTATGATTGTTTGAGTTACAGTACTCTCTGGATGTAGGTGAGCTACAACTCCCAAACCCAAGGTCAATGCCCACCAAATCCTTCTAGTATTTTCTATTGGTCATGGGAGTTCTGTGTGCTAAGATTGGTTCAATTCCATGACTGGTGGAGTCCAGAATGCTCTTTGATTGTAGATGAACTATAAATCCCAGCAACGACAACTCTCAAATGACAAAATCAATCCCCTTCCAACCCCACCAGTATTCATATTTGGGCATATTGGGTATTTGTGTCAAATTTGGCGCAGTGAATGAAAATACATCCTGCATATCAGGTAGTTACATGACGACTCATAACAGGAGCAAAATTACAGTTATGAAGTAGCAATGAAAATAATGTTATGGTTGGAGGGTCACCACAACACGAGGAACTGTATTAAAGGGTCGCAGCATTAGGACAGTTGAGAATCACTTCGCTAAATGGTTCCAAACCAAGTTACCTGTCTCCCCCTATGAACCATCTTGGAGGTTAAGATTGTCCAGGGAAGCCCTGCTCTCGGTCCCACCTCCTTCGCAGGGGAGGTGGGGATGAGAGACAGGGCCTTCTCTGTGGTGGCACTCTCTCCCAAACAGAATTAGATCAGCATCCTCCCTCTTGGTCTTCAGAAAGAAAGCAAAGACATGGATGTGGGACCAAGCCTTTGGGCAGTAAGCAATGCAAGAAACGAGGTTGAGAAACACTGTTCTAGGACATTGGACCTGTAGAGCCTTGACCATCTATTGCACCGCCTCCATTCTGGGGCTGCAGAGGCAGAGAGAACATGAAAGCCCACCATGCATCTACTCTGCCTGCCAAGGGCCATGTTGAGGGACTGGCAGAGCTCACTGCGACACGACCAACATCGAAAGCAGGGCGCAGGAGCATCACCGGAGGCCAGGCATTTGCCAACTGCTAATAGCAACATAATAATGAAGGCTCCTGGCAACGGTGAAGCGAGACCTGGGCAGCGGGGAGTCAAAGGGAGCCCCTCCGTAGGCTGTGCTTGCTTTACATCCGAACGAACAAACGTGTGGGCTTTGCAATTTCAGTCTTCAGACAAGTACCGAAAGAAGGGCGGGGAAGGCTGATTGATGCTGGAAATGCCGTTTTTTGTTTCTACCCAACATATAATTAAACTTGTCAAAAGGAACTCAGCAATAGAGGATGCTATTGAGGTAAGTAGCAGAGAAAGAGACAAAAAAATTGATGAGGTTGCTGGATGCATAAAAAACAGCAATTGCAACTCCAGCAAGAGACGGCTGATTTCACTGACCAACAAACTGGGCCTCCAAGTCACAGAAGAGATGGGGAGGATTATACCTCCTCCAGCCCCATAAGGAACACAAAACTGATGTGAAGGAAAGGCGTGTTATTCCAGAAGGCAGGTCCCTCTAAATCACTGGGCATTTTTTTTAAATTGAGGAGATGGGACTCAAATGGCTTTCATGCAGCCCCCAGGGCCTTTTGTCTAGACCACAGACCTTTCCCTTCACAAAGGTGAGAGAATTTTGAATGAAAAAAAAATATAAGTAACCACCCAAGAAATTACCAGGAGCAAAAATCCTCCTGTAAGACAAGATGCTGCATTCCCATGCTTTGTTTTGGGGATGGGGAAATCTTATGGACAAGTCATGGGCACTCTTGCGCCCTGCAGGTGTTTTGGACTTCAACTCTCACAATTCCTAACAGCCTCAGGCCCTTTCCTTTCCCCCCTCAGCCACTTAACTCTACCTTGTGTTTGTGTATTTTTTTTGGAGGGGGGGGGGCATCACTGAGGTTGAAATACTCTTCTGAATGACAGAAGAGAACTCCAATCCCAGGGCGCTGTGTCACTGCAATAGTTGCCTTCAATGGGCATTGCACTGCCGGTGGAAAGCTTGCTTTATTCAATAACAGGATGATATCATCCATAGAAACCTCAAGAAGATCCAAGTGGATCTTGGCAGAGGAAGCTCTCAGCCGGTGTCTGGCTGTAGGGACAGAGCCAGACACAGCTTTGTCTCTGGTCTTTGATCAGGCCCACTTTCCACCAGCCACTGAATGGCCATATGGACGGACTATCAAAGAGACACAGTGAATCCTGGGGCTGGGAGGGGAAATTACAGCACACATCAAATGTTTTACATCTGAAAGTTTTAAGCTATGTGCAATCACGTAGGATCTTCGCTGATCTGTGTTGCATGGCTCCACTAGCTAAACTGAAGTTGGACTCAATAGAAGGAATCAGGTCAAATGGGCACCAGACAGTGATAGAGCTGTGAAGAGTCCACTATTGTCAGAAATATCAAAAATCAACTAGGAATTTTAATTACAAAAAAGTCAATCAAGCACTGAAAGGTTTAAATGGATGCAATGACTCAGCAAAAGCTGCAGTTCAATATAAGCAGGTGTGCCTGCAGCTTAGTAGGCCTCTATGTTAGTTTGCCTCAGTGGGAGAAAGGCCTCAGTCTGTGAGAAGGCCTCACAGTGTGAGGTAGGTCTTAGTCTGTGAGAAGCTTTGATGAGAGAAGCCCCAAGTTGAAGGCCTCATGTCTAAAGCTGTGTAAAAAGCTAATGTGTGAAGTTCCTGAGTAAGTTCAATGTGAGAGGAGGCTCTGTGAGAGCACAGCTATTTATGTGCATTAGAAAGAAGCCCAGCGTGGAAACAAAGAAGGAAGTGTATTGTCGAAGGCTTTCATGGCCAGAATCGCTGGGTTGTTGTAGGTTTTTTCAGGCTATATGGCAATGTTCTAGAGGCATTTTCTCCTAGGAGAAAATGCCTCTAGATTAGAACATGGCCATATAGCCTGAAAAAACCTACAATAACCCAAAGAAGGAAGTATAAAGGACTTTATATGTGTTATGGAAACCTTGTTGTTGCAAATAGTGCAACCATACTATTTTATTACAAAAAAAGCCTCTTATGGAAGATATAACATTGGCCTGTGCCTTTTTGTTCTTTTTATCACTTTGGGCTACTGGTCCTGGGTCACGCTGCTGTGAAAAAGGTACTCTGATGTCCATTTATGCGGAGGGTCTTTGCTAATAAGCCCACTCGCTCAACAACTATCACCACCATCACCCCATCCAATCTGATTCACAAGAGAAGACTTACCTGCATGGGTCTGTCAATACGTCGCCGCAAAGCTCGCATCCAATGGGCCCGGCCTGAGTAAAAGCACATGTGTGGTGGGAGGAATGGGATCTTTTTCCCCAGTTCTTTGTTGACCAGAGCGAGCTCGCCATTAAACAGCATGTAGATGTCCACTGTTTTCTTATCAAAGGTGCGTTTGATGGCCTGGGAGACAAAAAGAGAGTGGGAGGTGCCTTGCAGGCTGAGAAAGAGAGTGCCATCTTCCTTTTCTGAAGTGGGTTCCCCACTTCTCCCAAGAACCTCCTCTCCACTGCTTCCCAGGCATTTGGAAGAAAAGCAACCCAAAGATCTAACAGTTGGCTCATATAGTGCCTACTGGGCTAAGGGATGCTAGCATCTTTCTAAGATGAGCCTGATGGTCGTCCTCAAATATGTGCCTGAAGACCACAGAGTTACTGAGGCTACCATGGAGGCAAGTGTGGAGACCTCACACAGGGGCGGATGCTGCTTCCTCTCAACTGAATGATCAGGTTGAACCCAGCCTTGGAGGCAGCAGTTGCCTTGGCCATACCTCTCGTGCAGACAAATGCTGGAAGATGTCCTGGATCTCCACCCCACGCTCAGCATTTTGCACTGTCTCGAAAGCTGAAGCCATCAGGTTCTGGGTCATCACCTCCAAGTCTTTGACACCAGCACGGAAGCTGTGGTCCCCATGGAATGCACAGGAAGAGAAGAGAATGTGGCCAGGAAACCGATGCCACAGAGTCCCCCTCCCAGTTGTTGCCCTCCAGCCTCTTTTATACCACTGCTACTCAATGGGGTTATCTAAGGATTGGTGCTGATCCATGTGGCATTTTCTGCCTGTCTATGGTGTAAGTTCAGGGGGCAAAGAGACAGTTGTAGCCAATGGACACAAATATGGTACCAGTCCTTGGCTCATTATTGTAAAACCTTATCAGTCCCTCACATAAGACAGCCTAAGACAGTGGTTTTCAACCTGTGGGTCTCCAGGTGTTTTGGCCTACAACTCCCAGAAATCCCACAAGTTAACCAGCTGTTATGATTTCTGGGAGTTGAAGGCCAAAACATCTGGGGACCCACAGGTTGAGAACCACTGGCCTAAGAAGTGCTGCTCTCTTCCTCCACATTTGCTCTTTCTACTCAACTTGTCTCAGAGTAGTTGTGGGCTGCAAAAACAACCCTGGAGGACCACATGTGACCACAAAAGCAAGAAATATGGAAATATTAGTTCTCTTCCTGCTGAAATCAACACTGCCAATCTCACTTCTAAAGGCTGGTGGAGGCATCTCTCACCGGTTGAAGTCCTCATGCCAAGAGGTGTTCTTCACATCCAGGATTCCCCCTTTGACGTTCCGGAGGTTGTTCAGGAACTTATTGAAGGTCTCCTCTGTCTCAAGCAGGCTCCTGGTCATCTGGGGGCCCCGCTGGCCAGAGAAGCAAGGCAGGGGAGTCTGCTTGCCATCTTCCCAGCGGGCAAAGTGTTGCTGGCTGTCACAGACCTATTGGGCAAAGATGCCAGGGTTTGTCATCACCCTTGAAAGTCCCCACATTTCTCCCCAAGGCTGTAATATCACCATACTGCAACAGGTCCATGGAAAGATGCCCATTAGCAAAGTCCTCTCTCCATTAGGCAACTTGATGGAGATTTAATTAGGGAGGACCGTTTGCAATTAAAGGTACGCCGAAGTGCGTGGCTTGCCAACAAACGGGAAGTTCGAGGTCAACGTAATGCTTTCAACTAGGGAAACATATTTAACAATCGGATTGAAGTCAATCCTTTGTCAGTGCAATGTTGCTTACACCCTGTTAACTTCTCTGGAATTACCTCGGCTTTTGGGGGAAGTTTTTAGCTCTTTGGGGCTTTGGTTTTGATCTTGGTTTTTGGGGACCTTGTCATGCTGCCATGGATTCTTGTTTAACCAATACTAAAGGATTATACTTCATGTTATTTGCCTTTGGATCTTGTTATTTTGCCTTTGCATTTAAGACTCTGTTTTGGCTATTGAACTTTTTCAACTTTATTTCTATGTTTATAATTTTACTTTTTCTTCAATAAACTACAAAACCTACAGCCTTGGTGTGTGGTGGTGTTTTGAGCAAGGTGAATCTACCCTGAGTTGCGACATTAACGAGAAAGTGTTATTGCAATGAATGAAATGTAAATAAAGATAAGAGCCGCTACTGAAGCAGAAACAACTGTCTGAAGTCAGTTAATTGGATGATAAGAAGCAAGTTGGCCAGCAAATTGCACTGATACAACAAATGGCCATCCAGCCTCTGCTTCAAAGCCTCCAAAGGAGGATCCTCCACCACACTCCAAGGCAGAGAGTTCCACTGCTGAACAGCTCTCATGGTTAGGAACTTCTTCCTAGTGTTCAGGTGGAATCTCCTTTCCTGTAGTTTGAAGTCATTGTTCCGTGTTCTAGTCTCCAGGGCAGCAGAAAGGAAGCCTGCTCGCTCCTCCCTGTGACTTCCCCTCACATCTTGATCCATGGCCCTCATCATGTCTCCTCTCAGTCTTCTCTTCTGCAGGCTAAACATGCCCAGCTCTTTAAGCTGCTCCTCACAGGGCTTGTTCTCCAGACGCTTGATCATTGTAGTTGCCCTCCTCTGTACAAAAGAACTAGCTTGGATCTCAACCTGTTTACATCTGTAGGTCATATCAGATGTGCTTTCCTGGAAACTTGAATGAGACAAACCAGGGAATGTATAGGAGTGGGCGAAATGCCACCTACCTGCTTGGGCGAAATGCCACCTACCTCCAGGAGGTCCTTACAGCGTTGGACAAAGGCATCGACTTGGGCAAAGATAGTGGTCTGATCCAGGACCCAGCCCCTCCCCGAAAGCCTGTTGGGAGAGCCTCGTGGTTAAAAGAGTTACAACTACTGTCGAAGGCTTTCATAGCCAGAATCACTGAGTTGTTGTGAGTTTTCTGGGTTGTCTGGCCATGTTCCAGAAGCATTCTCTCCTGATGTTTTGCCTGCATCTATGGCAGGCATCCTCAGAGGTTGTGAGATCTGGGTTTCTGTGAGTTTTCCGGGCTGTATGGCCATGTTCCAGAAGCATTCTCTCCTGATGTTTTGCCTGCATCTATGGTAGGCATCCTCAGAGGTTGTGAAGTCTCACAACCTCTGAGGATGCCTACCATAGATGCAGGCAGAACGTCAGGAGAGAATGCTTCTGGAACATGGCCATACAGCCCGGAAAACTCACAGAAACCCAGTTACAACTACCTCCCACACTACCACATTTAAGGTGAAAACTGCACGTCTGTCCAGGCAGGTGATGGAGACTACATACGGATTAATAGATATACAGAAAATGTACAGATTTCAGAATAACAAGACAGGGTGGGGTCCAAGCTTCCTTGGAAACGACACAGACGCTGACATGCAGACAGTCGACTCCCCCTGTTTGTCTGTATCTCTACACACACACACACACACACACACACCCAACCCAGGCATCGCTAGGCATGCAAGAAGCTTCTGAAGAAATCATCTAATCAAAGAGCTCTGGGAAGACGCGAGACCCTCACCCCAGGAGCAAGGCTCGAGTGCCTAATCCAGGCCCAGCCGCGCCTGCCTTCCATCAGAGCTTCTTGCATGTTAAATGTCTTTATATCTTTTATGATATTGATCCAGCCCCACTAATTTGAATTTGAAGCAGACAAGTAACACTTAGACTTAATTGTCAAGGACCAGGCACCCACTTAAACCTGACATCCCTAATCATAATGATGGATTATGTTGCATTATTTCTGAAGTACAGCTAGGAGAATCAGGGAATGGAAGATGGGGCCAGGGCTGGAATAGAGCCGGTGGAGCCAAGGCTCGGCTGCCATCGGGATCCGGAGGAAGGGCAGACAGGGGCCATAAAAAGCAGACCCACCACGATGACGACGCGCCTTTCTTTCCAGCTCAAATGGCCTCTGCTCATCCAAACATGGTGCCTTGGTCAAGGCCCACAGATTTACAAGGAAAGCCATTTCACAAAGGACGGAATTCACCCATGCAATCTGTATAGCTGCCTTCCTGCTCAGAAACCACTAGGACTGTTGTGGGATGGAGGGGAGGAAAACTGTCATAGGAAGAATCAAAGGAAAGGAAGGAGAACCCCCCATGTAAAGGTGATTTTAAGATAGCTGAAGGATAATGTATTGTCGAAGGCTTTCATGGCCGGAATCACTGGGTTGCTGTGAGTTTTTTGGGCTGTCTGGTCATGTTCTAGAAGCATTCTCTCCTGACGTTTCGCCACATCTATGGCAGGCATCCTCAGAGATTGTGAGCTCTGTTGGAAACTGAGCAAGTGGGGTATATATATCTGTGGAATAATGTCCAGGGTGGGTAAAAGAACTCTTGTCTGTTTGAGGCGAGTGAGAATGTTGCAATTGGCCACCTTGATTAGCAATTAATGGCCTAGCAGTTTCCAGGTCTGGCTTCTTACTGCCTGGGGGAATCCTTTGTTGGGAGGTGATTAGCTGGCCCTGATTGTTTCTTGTCTGGAATTCCCCAGTTTTTGAGTGTTGCTCTTTATTTACTGTTATGATTTTAGAGGGTTTTTTAAAATACTGGTAGCCAGATTTTGTTCATTTTCATGGGATCACCAAACACAGTATTGCCCAGGCAAGAATCAAGGAACATGAAAGGCACTGCAGACTATTTCAACCTGAGGAGTCAGCCGTAGCAGAGCACCTGATGAACCAACCTGGACACAGCATATTATCTGAGAACACAGAAATGCTGGACCACTCTCACAACCATCATGTCATACAACACAGAGAAGCCACTGAAATCCACAAGAAGCAGGTGGACAGTTATAACAGAAAGGAAGAACCCGTGAAAATGATCAAACAGGTTGTTGTAGGCTTTTAAAAAAATATAACTGTAAATATAGAACAACACTCAAACACAGGGGAACTCCAGACAAGAAACAATCAGGGTCAGATCAACAAAGTGTTCCCCCAGGCAGTAACAAGTCACACCTAAAACTGTCAGGCCATCAAATGCTAATCAAGTTGGCCAATTGAAACATTCACATCTAACTCCAACAGACAATAGTTCTTTCTCAAACCCTGGACTTTCCACAGATATTTAAATTCAATTTTCCTAGTTTCCAACAGACCTCACAACCTCTGAGGATGCCTGCCATAGATGCAGGTGAAACGTCAGAAGAGAAAGCTTCTGGAACATGGCCATAAAGCCTGAGAAACTTACAGTGATTCCTGCTATGAAAGCCTTTGACAATACAATCAGGGTCAGCTAATCACCTCTCAACAAAGCCTGAGCTCTGCAAGTGCAGCATTTTTCAGAATGAAGCAGAGAGTGTTTGAGGACCAGGACATCCGTAGAGAGACCAAGGTGCTTGTTTATAAAGCTTTTGTCCTCCCAACCCTGCCATATGCCTGCGAGATGTGGACTATCTACAGACGTCACGTGCAACTCCTAGAACAATTCCATCAGTGTTGTCTCTGAAAAATCCTGCAAATCTCTTGGGAAGTCAAGCAGACAAATGTTAGCATGCTGGAAGAAGGAAAGACCACCAGCACTGAAGCAAAGGTCCTCTGCCACCAACAGAAAAGAGTTCTTTCTCCCACCTTGGACATTATTCTAGATATATAAACCCTATTTTCCTAGTTTCCAACAGACCTCACAACCTCTGAGGATGCCTGCCATAGATGAAGGTGAAATGTCAGGAGAGAATGCTTCTGGAACATAGCCAGACAGCTCGGAAAGCTCATAACAACCCAGATGAAAGATACTTTGAGAGGAAAAGAAACACGCATTCTTTTCCAGCAAAATTCAGTCCACATGTTTTATTGACCTACCTAAAAAGCACACAACTGTACATTATGCAAGTGTTCAAAGCTTCATCAGACAATGTTGTTAAGTATGTAAGTAAAGTAAGTAAGTAAGTTGATTTAGTACCACTATGGTCAGAAAAGATTTGGGAGTTTTTGGAAACGACACAAAAAACCTTGTGACTCATTCAACCATGCCATAACAAAGGTGTACACACCCAAAGTTTTCATTCCCTAAACTGCTTTCACAGTCCTGCTTATTGTCTCAGAAAACCCACCTTTCCCAGATCCGAGCTGAGGGAAGATAACAAAGACCCGACTCTTTGCCAAACTTGCACACACACATATGTGCATGTGCCTATATGCACATGCTGAAATCAGCTTGATCCAGCCTCCAGGCTCGCTGGGACTGTCTGCTAGAGCAGGAAGAGCTAAAAGCCTGCTCTCATAAGAACTCAGATGGGATCTTTCAAATGGAAAGAAGCACAAATACAATTGGAGTGGCGGTGAGGCAGCAAGCGCCTGCGAGGAGGCAGGGCCGTCACGGAGAAGGAAAGCCCTTCCTCGGCACACCGATCCCCATGAGAAAACCACAAATCCGCTTCTGTTTTCTATTCTTCTTTGTGAGGGATCATCAACACAATGACCATGTGTAGAGTCACATAACAACTGCTGGAATTTTAAATTAAAGTGGGGATGGGGAAAATAGGCAGGTTGTTCATGCGGTCATTTTTTTTTCTTTAGACTTCATCACATTGAGGCAGGGAAGTGTCTGGCAGAGAAAAGCTCAGTCTTACTCTTTTTTGTAATGAAACGGATATTTTCCCTACCTTCATCACACTGTTAAATGCCTCAGTTTTCTTTCTGTATTCTTTCACTGCAGTTGCCTTCACACTGCAGAGATTTGGCCCCACATTTCATCCCTTTCCCTGCTCATTGCTGAAAAAAAATCTCCTCTGTCCAAAAAGAGCCCCCAGTTGCGCAATGTGCCGGCAGGACTGCTGACCAAAAGGTCGGTGGTTCGAATCCGGGGAGCAGGGTGAGCTCCCGTCTGTCAGCTCCAGCTTCTCATGCGAGGACATGAAAGAAGCCTCCCATAGGATGGCAAAACATCCCGGCGTCCCCTGGGCAACATCCTTGCAGATGGCCAGTTCTCTCACACCAGAAGCGACTTGAAGTTTCTCAAGTCACTCCTGACACAAAAAAAAGTCTGTCCAAACACTACATGCTGTCAAAGGAAGGAAACTGAGAGCAACTAATGCCATCACACTACAGATTTGGCAAAACATCCGAATCATTTCAAATAATCCACTTCCATGCCACCTCCAGAACCGTTGGAAAAGAATCTGGCTCCCACACTTAAAATATGCAAAGAATGCGGTACCCTACACTTGAAACAAAACTAATGTGATGAGCACAATGAGTTACCAGATTTAAACTGTAGGGCTCAGTGGAATTTAACTAATGTGATGAAGTGCTAAGTCACAGATAACCCTGGTAGCAATTCTACCAGGAATTTCACACCCATGATGGTCACTGTAGATCCAGGAGAAGCCCCTTTTCCCAACTAGATGTGATGCCCATCACTTTGGTGTTGCTACCTGTTGGAAACAACAGCCTTACCTTGTCCAAAAATGGCATATAACATGATCCAATTGCCCACACATTCTCTAGGAATCTTCTGGATCCCCTTGTGGCCATTTGCCCATCTGGATTAAAGGATCTAGGCATGTTGTTGTACAGCACTGGTTCTCAAGCAGTGGGTCCCCAGGTGTTTTGGCCTACAACTCCAAGAAATCAAGTTTACCAGCTTTTAGGATTTCTGGGAGTTGAAGGCCAAAACATCTGGGGACCAGCAGCTTGAGAACCACTGTCGTACAGGGAGAAATCCACTCCTATGTTACAGCAGCTCCACTGGCGGCCAGTCTGCTTCTGGGTTAAATGCAAAGTGCTGGCAATTACCTTTAAAGCCCTAAATGGCTCAGGTCCAGGCTACTTGACTGATCGCTTCTGCTCTTACAAATCAGTTTGGGCACTGCGGTCAATGGAGAAGGCCCTACTCAGTCCTATACCATCTCAAGTATGACTGGTGGGAACGAGAGAGAGGATCTTCTCCGTGGTGGCCCCCACCTCTGGAACTCCCTCCCTAAAGAAATAAAGCTGGCCCTTTCCCTCCTCTCCTTCAAAAACCAACGGAATACGTATTTTTGCTCACTAGAATACGGAGAGGAGGAGGATTAGACAATGAGAGACCACAACCGGCCCTCTGGTTGAGAACTATTTCATATCTGGGCTCTGCTAGTCCATGTCAGCCCGTCACTGGCCACACAACCAACCCACACAACTTTGTGAACGATAGTTGGCTTCTGTAAATCAATGTGGATGTTTTATGTTCAGATTTTATGTCATTATATCATTTTTTCTTTGATTACATTTGGTTTAATCTAATGTTGTTAGCTTCTAATGTTGCTTTCATATGTGGGGTTTTTCTGGGATTATTATGTCAGTACTTGTTTGTTCTATGGAGGCATTGAATGTTTGCCGTTGTATGATGGAATCCACCCTGAGTCCCACTGGGGAGATAGGGTGGAATATAAATAAAGTATAATTCTTATTGGAGTCCCCGGTAGTGCAGTGGGTTAAACCACTGAGCTGTTGAACTTGTTGACCGAAAGGTTGCAGGTTCAAATCCAGGGAGCGGGGTGAGCTCCCGCTGTCAGTCCCAGCTTCTGCCAACCTAGCAGTTCGAAAACATGCAAATGTGAGTAGATCAATAGATACTACTCCGTTGGAAAAGTAACAGCGTTCCATGCAGTCATGCCAGCCACATGACCTTGGAGTTGTCTACAGACAACACCGGCTCTTCAGCTTATAAATGGAGATGAGCACCAACCCCCAGAGTCGGACACAACTGGACTATGTCCTTTACCTTTACTTATTATTATTATTATTATTATTATTATTAGAAACACAACAAGATTAGTACACAGGAAACAAGATCACTATGCTGTTGTATTGGATCACACATCAGACACTTCCCAAGTCTCTAGGACTGTGTGATGTATCGGCAAACAATGCGTACAGATCCGAGTAAGATGGCCTTTTGCAGCTGACAGACGGTAATTTTATCAGTGCTGATTGTGTTTAAGTGCAAGCCAAGGTCTTTAGGCACTGCACCCAGTGTGCCGATCACCACTGGGACCACTTTGACTGGCTTGTGCCAGAGTCTTTGCATTTTGATCTTTAAATCCTTGTACCGTGTCAGCTTTTCCAGTTGTTTCTCTTCAATCCTACTGTTGCCTGGGATTGTAACATCGACGATCGTACTTGGTTTTTTAACATAATCGTGAGGTCAGGAGTCTTATGCTCCAAAACTCTGTCAGAATAATAATAATAATAATAATAATAATAATAATAATAATAATAATAATTTATTTGCCATGTGGAATATGGCACTGGGCTAGATGGCTCGGTGGTTCTCATTCATCATAATTCAGTTTCTCAAGTCACCCCTGATATGGAAAAAAAAATCATAATTCAGTTTTGAATTATCCTATGTCAATTCCCAACTACATCCTGGCAAAGCTCCTTTTCTGGGAAGACCACTCCGTACCCACAATCCTCTGGGCAGCAAGGAAGCTGTCATCCACAAAGATCTCCTTTTCCAAACCCTGCTCCCAACACATCCTTGGTCTCTTACTTGTTGTGCATGTAGGCTGCATGCTGGTAGCTATCTTTCCATGATGACATGCAGGAGATACATCCGTGAAGCGTCTGCCGGGCGGAGTTGATATAACCCTCAAACAACCGGTCCAGGGAGATGTCCTTGCAGCACATCTGGATTATTTTGTTGCTCATCTAAAGCAGAAGAGACACTGCTTGAGGACCCTCCTCCTTGCCAGCTTTTAGCTCAGCCAAACAAAGAGAAGCCACCAAATGTTTGAGACTGCCTTATCTTGCCAGACAGTAAGGCAGTCCCACAAATTTTACTGCCTGAAGCAAAGCGGCGCATCCTATGCCCACTCCAATCATAATGCCTATTAGCCAAAGCAGGCCAGGTTCCTTTGGCACCTGAGGCTGCAAATGGCCCAAACATCTCATCTGGCGATACAAATAATTAAAAAGAAATAATGGACCATTTGCTCCGTTTTCATGACACTCCAATCAGCTGCTTCAAATAGCAAGCTCTGCCAAATTCTCCCACATGGAATTGATGATAATGACTGCGGTCTAAACATTCCATATTCCGAGGATAGTGGGATCGGATTATGAGGAGAGGCCTTTCGGTTACGGCACCCTGGCCCAGAATGCATTCCCCAGACAGGCTTGGCTGGCCTCCATCACTGGATTTTGCAACTGGTTGCCCTTCTAGTTACCTGCCTCTGCTGATGTGGAATGACCCAAGACAGCTTTGGCTGGGGTAATTTTTTACTGACTCTTTGCCTCACTTTCTTGTTCTTTTAAAGCAACTTTTTTGTAGTTTTTTTTCCTGACAGAAAAAGGTGTTTGGAAATGTTTGTGTGAGAAATAGAAAGAAGCAGAGTGGGGTTGTGAAGAGAGAAGCGGCACCGGCACCTTTCGGAAAAGAGCTGTGACTTTTTCCCGGCTGTTATAGTACGGAGAGTTGACCCACACGATACGGACGAGGCTGATGAGGTGAGGCAGCTTCTCGGGGATATCTTTGGGCCTCAGCGTAGCAAGCTCTTGGAACGGTTCTTTCAGGATGGAGAGGAACTGGAGGTTGGACATGGCTTGCTCTGAACCATCCTGCAAAAGGAAAGCCAAACAAGCAATCAGTGCAACCCAGGGCCAAAACCATTCCCAAAAGCTCAGTGGTACAGCTTTTTGGTCCCATCAGAAGCCCGGAGAATCCTGAATGAGACCAAACCAGGCCCACTTGCACGGAGTATCTCTACTTCCACACCTGATGTGCCCACCTGTATTTGTTTGGCAAGTCGCTGGAACGGGGCCACGTAGGAAGACTTGGTCAGACTCAAAATGGATTCAATGTGCTTCACCCCTTCTTGGTAGAGCTGCTTGCTGATTTCGGAGAGATCGGTGCAGCGGTTCCTCCAGAACTCAATCTCCTCCAGCGGGCCCGAGCTCTCCCTGCTCTCCACGGCTTCTTGGGCCCTCAACACTTCCTTGATCTGGCGAGTCCAGTGAATCATTGAGGCTGGAACAAGGTGGATCCGTTAATGGGAAATCTACCCAGGCCTTTCCTTGCTGAGGCACTTGAGCAAACCCTCAGTGTTAAAGGCCCCGGCCAGATCTAAGAGTAAAAGGCCTTCCCATTACATGATTTTTGTTCCTGAGTTATAAATTTCATTTCCTAATTGGTTCTATCATAAAAACATGGGAAATGTTTATTAAACTGCAAAAACTTTGTTTTTGTGGAAAGGACATCATCCTGCAGCACATTTTGCTATAGTTTTTCAGTGAATATCTCATAGAGTCTCTGAAGTTTCTGGAGTAAAATGACAACTCCCACTCAGTTAAATAGGAAATAACACTGGGTTGTTGTAGATTTTTTGGGCTATATAGCCATGTTCTAGAGGCATTCTCTCCTGATATTTCACCTGCATCTATGACAAGCATTCTCAGAGGTTGTGAGGTCTGAGACCTCACAACATCTGAGGATGCTTGCCATAGATGCAGGCGAAACGTCAGGAGAGAATGCCTCTAGAACATGGACAGATAGTCCAAAAAGCCTACAGCAACCCAGTGATTCCAGCCATGAAAGCCTTCAGAAATAACACTTTCTGTTCATTTTCATCCCTCGACTGCACAAGTTTCCTGCGTGATCAAGTCTCCAGAACTCAATGAGTAGCTAGACTACAGATAGGATTAGAATGAGGGACTCCCCCCCCCCCCCCCCCCCCCCCCCCCCCCCCCCCCCCCCCCCCCCGTCCCCTGCCCCAATCCCATGCATGCTTTACCAGAAAAGGCTTTGGTTTTACTGTTCCTTCTTGCCACTATCCCTGCCCCTTTGAAGATGTAACAATAGAATTCTGTCAAGTAACTTTCTTTGTATTTGTATTGCCCTGGGCTTGGTCATGCAGCCATCCTCCATTGTTCCTTCTGCCTTTTACTTCCTTCCAGTGAAGACGCTTTTTGCCTCTCTCTAGGCAAAATGTAGTTGCATGGATATTTTTGACTTTTTATCCTTTTATCTTTCTTAGAAGATGAGACTCAGAAAGCTATATAGCTTCAAGACCTTTTCTATCTAGATTGTATTTCTTTTTCTTCAATAAATATTTTTGAACCCAAAATTCTGACTCTGCAATTCTGTGCCATCTGATGAATGGAAGTTTATTCTGGCTCACCACACGTAAGTTTCTGCTGGTTATGAACTTTGCTTCTGGTACTCTGTTATATTTATGGTGGAATCACCCCAACTGAGGGTTATTTTGAGCCTAACGGCTCAGATTCCCCAACACTTTCATCAAATAAGGAACACATTTTTTGTTACCTAGTGTTATATTAGAAGAAAGAAACTAGTGCCAGGATGGACAACCTGAAGTTCTCACCCCTCATTCCTACCTCTGTTGGCTAGGGTTGATGGGATGTGCTCCCAAGAACAGCTTGGATGGCAAATGAGGTATTTCCCATCTGAGACTTGAGGTTGTTCAGTTATGTTATGGCTTACACCAGGCCACTTCTCAGTTTGCTAACCCACATTGTTGAATTGTTCCATTTCCTACATTAAAAAAAGAATCCACCCTGCTGGCCAACATGTTGGCATGAAAGAGAAGGCAATGCCAATTCCGGATCCTGAGTGACACCTTCAAAGGAAAGGGGGAACAAAGCGCATTTGAGAGTGGACCTGCGGCCACGTCCACATGATCACAGGCTTCCATTCTGCAACCCTTCGTATGCATCAGCTCCTGTAATGTTTTACAAAGAGGCTGAAACTCAGGAGGGGCCTGGAGCAAGTTCCCCCAGCTCTTTGTACTGCCTGTCTGCGTGACTCCGAATGGAGTCGGGGTTGCTCCACCTCCTTCAAGACAGCCTGCTAGAGGAAAGGTCTATTCCCTCTCTGGAAATTACAAAAGATTTTTGGAATATTGTCATGCCTGAACCGAAGACAGACTTCCTGAGGGAGGAAAGCCGAGAAATTTACTCGCGCAAAAAAATAAAAAAGAGATAAGTGTGACCCGAGCAGAAATAAAGCATGTCCTTTGGGGAGGGGGAAACATCCTTCCAAGAGGACCTGGTGCCATTTGCTTTTGTTCCACGTGAACGCACACTGTTTTGAGCATCGATGCTTTTATGTCTCGGCACCGTGTTGCTCTCCTGTACAGCAGCAGTGTGGAACACAGCAAGTTCTTTGTCCTAAGCATTCGATATGCGAGGCACCGCCGCTTGCCAAAATGCACTGTCATCCCTGCTCTTTAATATGGGACTTTGGGTGCGGAGTCTGGCCTGCCTGGTGCAGAAATTGCCTTCTACTTTGCGTTCCGTTCTATGAGAGAACCCAAATGCATCAGTCCAAGAGCATTGTGGGGAGAAGCCAAAGGAAGGAGGCACACCATGGCTGAGCCGCAAGGGACGGAGGGGCTCTCCTGAGGCTTCAGAAAAAAAGAGAGACCCACCAAACATTGCCAGGTAAACAAGAGCCTCCCTTAAAGCAGAACACACCCGGGCTCCATCTGCAGAGAAAGTGTGGGGCGAAGGGAGCTGGCCAAGTTTGCTGCCTCCCCCTGCTCTCCGAATGGAAGCAGCTAATAGCTCCAGAGCAGCCACCTCGGAAGAGTTAGTATCGCAGCGTGGAAGCGGCAGTCTCTGTGCCAAATTACAGGGGTAAGACAATCAGGCAGCCCAGGGATTAGAATAGCCAAGTATCTCTAAGTGCTTGATAACAGCTGAGGTTTTAGTCACACAAGAGACGACCCTGAGGTAGCCAATTGGATGCTTAACCCAAGCATGCATTGCCATGCAAAACATCCAGGCATGGGAAGATTTTAATGCGCACAGCACAGGCTGGGCGCTGCCAAGCACACAGGCCTCTCATTATGGGACAATCATGTGAATTTCAAATCCTCCATCTGTGTGCGGCAGTGGGGGATTTTCTCCAGAACGCTTCCCAACTTTGAAAAGGGGCTCATTCCACTTCAGTTTCCTTACATTCCCCTACTCCAACTATAATATCATGCAGGAGTTGCGCCAGATATGACTCCTGTGCGCTCGCCTGCTTTTCGTCGTTGTTGTTTTTGAACCTCCAAAACTAATGGAAGGGGCGATAAGAACTCTCTGGGGTCTGGTTCTCTCACCCCACATTTGCACAAGGCCCGGCCATGCTGAAGAGCTCTTGCATTCAGGCCAGAAAACGAGTCAATTAATACCTGTTGTTACTAAAAGCCTTTTTTATTTTCCCTCATTGTTACAGCCAACCGTAATAGCCATTTATTTTAACGCCACAAGCAATGCAGAATGAACAAGGAGCCAGTACTTCCAGACCCCAGAAGAAAATCAACACACAATGGCTTTGGCACCTTTCCGCACCGTACGATAGCAAAGGTGTGTTTGCGGTCGTGTGTACATCTGTGCTGTGCAAAACTGCAGCCAGGCCCCAATCCCCAAAGCATATAATTCTAATGATGAATCAGACTGAATTGCCTCCCCACAACGCACACACATTAGTTGTAGCTACTCAGAGACATTTCCTGGGTATGAATTCAAAACATAACGTGCAAGACTTTTCCCAGACAGCCAGGCTGTCGCGGAGGATGGACACTCCAGCCCCAGCTTGCTCTCTCGGTGGGCTCCTGCTGCCATTTGCATTAGGAAGAAAAGGACAAAATAACCCCCTCCGTGAGTCACACCTTTGCGGGGTTTGGTTTTATCATTCCTAATAGAGACACGCGCACTGCATAATTCAGTCAACATCTTTTCCCACTTGTCCGTCACGAGACGTTCAATTGAATTTACGCAGGGCGGAACAAATGAGCGGCTGCTCCCGATCTGACTGGTGATTCCTCTCTTCAACATTTCTTGCCCGCAGGGCAGTAACGCAACCGGAGGCCCCTGGGATGCCAGGGAGGGAGATGGGAACAAGGACACAATGCCACACCAGGCAGGGTCCCCAAGGGACAAAGCAGGCAGAGTGGCACTGGGCCTGTATCCTCAAACAGAGGGGGGGGGGGGATGTGCAGGGCTGTTGTGTGTGCATCTTGGACTATCTCTGTGCATGGGCCAAACCCTCCATCTCACTTCAATTTGGCCCACTGCTTTCTTTTCTTTTCTTGTTGCTCTGAAATTCATTCTCCCTTGAGGGTGTTTCTTCTCCAGCTGGGCTCAACCCAAGCTCCAAAGATTTGGAGGACAATATCACAACAGTGTGGACAAGTCTACATAGGGACCACAAACTTTACTTACCGTATTTTCTGGTGTACAAGACTACTTTTTAACCCAAGAAAATCTTCTCAAAAGTCAGGGGTCATCTTATATGTGGGAGTCATCTTATACACGGGGGTTGCCTTATACGAGGGGGTCTTCTTATACACAGGTGTCATCTTATATGCCAGGAGTTGTCTTATAGAGTGGGTGCTGGAACTTCCAATCCCAATTGGAGAATCTGTGGTTGCTGCATATGATGGGGGAGCTCAAAAATGGCAGTGGCCACGTCCCTGCCGTATGCAGCGACTGTATGAAAGCATTAAGGGCGACCCTGTACAAGTACGGTAGAAGAAAATCCATTCATCAGGATTCGTGGACTTAATGTGGTCTTGATGGTGAGGTGAAGGGGCGCCTCACCGAGAAGGTGTAAAGTGAAGGGCGGAGCAAGCTGCAGGCGTCCGGGTTGCCCAGGTTATGGAAAAAGGAAATAGAGTGGCTCTGGGCCCAGAAAAACACACCTCTTTTACCTGTCTGGCCCGCCCTTGTATCCTATTACCGTACCTCCTCCTCTGCCTCTCAATCTCGCTCCTGAAGACTGCAGTGAAGCGGTGCAGGTGCGCAGGTGCGAGATCTGAGAGGCAGAAGAGATACAGTAATAGGAAAATTACCAGATTGAAATCAAATCTGATGCTTTTTAAATTTTTATTTGGTGTGTGTTGAAAGAGGGGTAGTCTTATATGGTGAGTATATCCCAAACTCTATATTTTAACTGGAAAAGTTGGGAGTCGTCTTATACGCCTAGTCATCTTATATGCCAGAAAATACGGTACTTACTTA